CTCCTGCTCTCTTCATGGTAGTTTTAGAGCAGGTGAGCCACCTCAAAGGCGCTGCCAGGCTGGTGGCCACCGCGTGCCAGCAGCCAGAAGACCCTCTTTGTGTTGCTGGAGCTGCATCCTGACCGCTTGCCCCCGCAGCAAGCGCTCTCGTGCTGTGCCTCCAAGGGCAAATGCCTCTGGGAGACGGACAAACTGCAGCTCTTAACGTCAGCTCGTTATGAGCACAAGCCCCTTAGCAGTGTGGGGAAATAACGGGCTTCAGCCATGACCAGTAAGTATTTCAGATCCTTGTATCCCTTGTTGTGCTGGGTAGCTTTTTGTGCTCCGTCAGGAAGCAGTTGCATTAGAGAGGCATTTGTTTGGAATACATTTTGTGCTCTGCTCCAAATTAAAAAAAAAAAAACAACAACAAAACCAAAACAACAACAATAAAACAAAAGAAAAGAAAACAAACTGAGCTGAAGTCTAGCAGTGAGCAGGAGGGAGGGTCTTCATCACCTTCCACTTGGCAATTTCACAGGTGCTCAGTGGGTTGCCAGGATTGCATCATCCCCTAAATGCAAACCACTGGTGGAACCCATCCCCTCCCTGGCGAGGGAAAGGCAGGAGTTACATTTCCACATTTTAGTGGGAAACAATACTCAAAAACCTCCTTGCTCCTGCAGCATGGCTGGGGAGGGAGCATGGGGAGGCCTGGCTGGGAGCAGTGAGGGGGAAGCGCTGGAGAGAGCGGACCCGGGTGGCTGAGCACACCGGGGGAGAGACCAGAGGAAGGCGGTGGGGAGGGAAAATGCCTGCATGTCCCCAGGGAGGTACCCACGGGAGCCCAGCCTGGCAGAGGTGTGAAGATTTCCAGCCTCCACCAGCTCGGAGGAGAGGCCTTGCCACCCCACGAGAAGAGGCGCTTGCATACGTCCTCCTGTGCAGCACAGAAGATAAGGCGAAGGCGTGCCACAGCGGGTCCTTGTCGAAACACAGTCAGCTCCGGGCAGGACCCAGCACGTCACCGCTCCTGCAGGTAGCGGGGGCATCAGCATCCACCACTTTTTAATTTAAGTAATATCCTGTTTTCTACCAAACTAAACCCTTGTGCATCCTGCTTGCGGAGCTTCTTGTTACAACCAGTCCCACTAGAAGGAATCTAGATCATAGATCATAGATCATAGAAAGGCCTGGGCTGGAAGGGACCTTAGAGATCATCTAGTCCAACCTCCCTGTCATGGGCAGGGACGCCACCTCTTGACTAGACTAGACTAGAGGAAACCTCCTGCCTCTTTCCCAGCACTGACAAGGAGCACCAGGGAGGCAGAGACCCTCAGGCTTCAACTGTGACCTGGAGCAGGGGTCCTACTTTGCCTGATAAAAGAAATACCAAAATCCTTTCTAAGACTGATCTAGCATATTTTTAAGAGTAGTTTGGATACTGATATGTAGCAAACACCCATAATAATTGCAATGAAAATGCCTACAAGAGAAGATTGCTACGCCTAGGTGTTAAAGTGAAAGCCACTACGCGAATGCTTGCAGTACATGAAAAACCTCCTCTCCTATTTCCTCGAAAAAGCTGTAAGTAAAGACCTGAGCGTATTTGTTCAATGTTCTTCAATGCACTGCTGGGAGGGACCAGACAGGACAACAGTGCTGGGGCCAACGCACAGCTACGCCAAGCACCACGGGGTACCCCCAGCCATGCCTGGTTACATTTCACCGGCTTCCAGCCTTACTCAAGAGCGACAGCTTTGTCTGGGAGCTTTCTTGAGCTTGACATTTACTTCACTCCCAAGAATTCTTGATTCCTGGCTGCCACAGCCGTCCTTTCACCTCTCACTGCAAATTCTGTGAAAGCAGGTAGCTAGGCAGCACATCCCGAACGGCTTACAAGTACCTGGGTGATGTGGAAGCTCCTCACGAGCCAAAACTCCTGCTGACCTGGGAGCTTTATCCAGGGGAGAAATCAAAACAGGAGCTCTCATTTTAGTTTTGGTATTTGAAGGTTTGCCCGCTCTGCAGCTGTGGGTCTGCAAAAGGTATCTGCTAAACACAGACACCTGCAAGAGCAAGGGCAATGCCCTAAAATCATGTTCAAGACTGGTTTTCTCACTGAGCAGCATTTAAAATGACCAGTCCTTGAGAGAGAGCTGTGAGAGCAGGGACAGACTGCAGGACCCCCCGCATGAACAACTTCTTCCAGGTCTCAGCAAATCTGCTGCGAGTAGGATAGAGCACAGCCAGGAAATGTATTAAACATATTTTCTTCCTGTCAATCAGAGGAATATAATAACAATGAAAATGCTATGTTCTACCACTGCTTGCAAAGGAAAACTGGGACAAAGAATAGATTGATCTACCCTCGCTAAATACGCAGGTGTATTTACTTATATTCTGCTTGGGGAGCAAAAGTGAAATGCACACAGTATTTCTGAGCAACCATCACAGCAGGCTATTCACAGTACACGCATACTGGTGTCACACGGAAAGCCAAAGCCTGGCCTCCACTAAGCGGGAAGGAATTACTGCTCCTAAGATCAAAGTCTAGCTTACAGCTCCTAACCATTCCCATGGGGAGTGCGCCTTCGCGGTATCAGACAGCCTTGACCTGTTCTCAACCATGCAAAAAGTAATCCCATGATTTCACACCCAACACACCCATCAGAAGGAGGAAAACCGAGCTACATCACACTCTTCACATGCGTGGGACAGCAGGAGAAGGCTTTCCATCCAGACAACACTGCTTACAATTAAGTCACATCCTCGAAGTGGCACCTTGTGCTCAGCCCCCCAGATCACACCAGCAAGAAGGGGCCTCCGCAATGGGACTCGACGGGTATTTTATCCCCTCTGAAACACATTTAGAAAAGCCCAGCTTTTCCCAAGATTTCCCCAGCACATGCCAGCTGTGATGACCCCAGAAGACAAGCAGCTCTCTGCTGCCAGCAAGGGGCTGCTGGCACTGCAGTCCTTCACTGCTGCTTTTTCATAGAGAAATCCTTTAAACCAGACCTGTTCTCTGTTTCTGTTGGTGCATTTATGCGCGGACATGCCAGTAGATGTTCCCTACGCATCTCCCCCGCAAATGTGCTGTGGCTCCCTGACCCACCCCAGGCACAGGAGCTTGGCACGAGCAGGGGGATCCAAGCATCAGCAAAACCCTCCCTCAAAAAGGATCGTCCTCCTGCCCAGGCTTCACACACGAAACCAAACACCGCTAGAGCTCTGGCTTCCCACCCCACCAAGGCACTCAGCACCTAAATAAGCCCTTGGCTTACCAGCATTTTAAGGGCGAGGGGGAAATACAGAGGAAAGTGGGTTTTTTTCCCCTTTCTTTGCATGTTTTGATGATTTTGAGGCACAAAATGCATAGAGTATGGTTTGTCTCAGAACAAAGGGATAGCACTGAACAAGGCAAACAATTTAGCATCAGGCCAAGTCCTCAGAATTAATAAAGTTTAGTGCTAACAGGTTAAAAGGCTATTCAAGGTATTACAGATACTACACACGGCTGGTTACTTTGAAAATACACTATTAATATTATTTTCTAATATTAATATTATGTGAATTTACAGTAGCATGCAGGTGACATAAAAGGGTATAAGAAAAATTAGGGTAAAACTCACATCCGGGTGTGGAATAGCGTATTGTCCCTGAATTGTATAGGCCTGCAAAAGAAAAAATAGATGTTATCAGGGCTGGCAGGAGACGGTGGCAAAGCCCCATGCCTCCGCAGGGACCGCTGTCCCCAGGGTTTGCTCCTTTCTGCCTGACATGGGGTAAAAGCTGTGAATGCAGAGACTAAAGAGGAGCTCCTCCCCCACCCTGCTCTGCCTGGGACCCCATGCTACCCTCAAATAACAGAGCGCGGGGAGTTGAGTGCTACACTATCAGCACACCTCTCCCCTCGCTCTTGCTGCCGGTGAAAGTGGGGTGTGGGATCATGAATTTTGACTTAACCATCTTAATTTTGAGGTTGAAGGAGATGAGGGAAGCACAGTCTGTGCAGTCAACCCCTTGGCTTGCCCAGGGGAAGAGCCCCTCTGCGCTGCATTAAATTCCTTGGGGCAGCGAGTCCTCGGGGCGAGAGGGAGATGCACCCCTCCAATCAAACCTGGGGCATGCTGAGCTATCTAACTTCAAGGGCTTAGGCTCAGTTTGGCTTTTACAGAAGGAAGGAAACAGCTCTTTTTAAAGGTGCCAGAACTGCATGGAGCAGGTTGTGAATGGGCTTTGCTGTACAAAAGATATGCATCAAACCAGAATTATCTGTGTAGAGGATGCACGGTAACATCACCGCTGCACTTTGCACATTAACGTGATCCTAGAAAGCAAGCCAGTGCAGTGAGTGTCTCCACATTTTTGGGTGCACAACTCAAAACACTTTACATCTACCGGGTGTATTCCAGTGCTCTGCTGGGGGGAAAGGCATTGCCGTGCAGAAAGCCAGCTGGTGCTGATGTCTCACTCAACAGTCTGCCTGCCCTGCAATGCCTTTCACCAGCTATAACTGACAAATCCATGCAGATGTCTGCCAGGCAAATTGTTTAGTGTTTTTCCCATCGTTTTTAGTAATCCTTTCTCTTTTGTAAATAAGCTGAAAATAAGCACCGCTGTGGGTAAAGAGCCAGACACTAGAGAGCCCAGTAATTAGGACTTAACCAGCTAGCAAAACGTATCTCACTGTTTGACACATTATTCAGATGATTCTGAAAGAAATGGCAAAAGAGATGGATAACACTTTGAAAAGGGAGAGTAAAGATAGCCAAGAAAATAAAAAAATCACCTCTGAACCTCCTGCGAATTTGCTGCATCATTTATAAACAGCAAAGTGTTTGGTGTGAGGAAAACCCCCAAAATCCCAGAAGAAGAAGGAGGCAAAGCCCTGCACAGGCAATCCCAGCACCTGCTGATCCTGGCACAACGGGGCCCAGGATGCCTGTGAGGACATGGCAGAGGCTGCTCTAAAAAGCTGTCTTTCCTGGACAGTTTAATTTGGATTTTTGACTAGAACAATTGATTAGAAAAAGCTAAATGAAGGCAGGAAGGTGCCTTGGGCAGATGCAACTTGACAGCACCCACCTCTATGACCTGTGGCTTTCTGCAGAGACTGACTTTGCACGCGGCAGATGGGGCTAATCCCTTTGGCAGTTGCCATTGGCCACCATGTCCCTCAGCCTGCTGGGATTTGGCAGATCCAGCCCACCCCAAAGACCCCTCAGCACCACTGGCTGTCACCTTCTGTCCTCTGCCCACCCACACACCCTGTGCCACCCCCCCGGCAGAGCCAAGAGGCTTGCCAGCGCTCCCTCAGGGGCGGCAGGGAAGACTCTCATTTCAGAGACGGTTTCTTCTTCCCACAACATCACTTCTGTGCAAGACACCAACCCTTTGCCAGCAGGAGAAATGCTACCTCCATCTTACTCTCCCTTTTGAGAAGATAAGTTCACCAAGCAGCTGGACTCAAAGCTCTTTTCCAGGACGGCCACTCACACCAAATGACACACTCCTCCTGATCCTGGCGATGACTAAGAGATGCTAATTCAGCACGCTGCCTGAAATAGCCTGTGCTTTGGGCTTTGCTCCCATCCTTACTTTGTCCTTCTGCTATTTACAGTGGTTGGGGAGAAATTAAGTAACTTGTGTGGAGCTGCTCTGGATGCCATTAGCTTACAGTCTAGTTGTGCTGGTTCTACCTGACTGCTTGGAAAGTAACTCGCCTGCTAGACACCAGTGCATCACAGCACAGCAGCATCTACAAGCAGGTCCTCAGTCAGATGGTGAGGTGAGAAAATGAGGTGGGGAAAAAAGCAAGGGTTCAAGTCCCCTCCTTAAAAGCAGCTGCCTGCTCAACTGCTCTTGTTTCATAGATCACGTGCTGTGGGAGCTGATTTCTGTTTGCAGAACAACCACCAGCTCCTGTGGCACATGCAGTTATTCTGCAAAGAAAAAATCTGCTGTTGCTTCCCAAGGGTCACTTGAAATACTATATCATGACTGCAAACCTGCAGACTGAGTACAGCACAACGTCACTGAAGGCTCTTCTGGGCAGAGCTAACACCCTGCTTTTGCAGCAGAGGTTATGGAATTTTGCGGGGAAGGAGCACCCCAAAACAGCCAAGTGACGGGGATAAGCCTTTCCTGGAGATTGCCCTGAACAGAGGCTCAGCACAGTCCTGGAGTGGCTGGGACAAGCCCTTCCTATCTCGGATCGACTGCAGCTACACAAAGTTATTTTTATTTGGACTAGAGATGCCAGTAAATAAACACTTGCAGTCACTGTGAGAGCATAGTCATGTCCTCTTGATCTTTTCTCATTTTCTCCTTCACATTCGTAACCCTTGGCAAAGACCAAATTTGAGTCTAATGACACAAACTCCAGCCTTTTCTTGGTGCATGAGTGCCTGGCAGAGCTAACACCCCATCTCCCCAGGCCAGCCCTTTCCTGATCCTCCAGCAGCCGTCACAGGAGCTAAGCTGTCTGGCCAGGCTTGCAAACTGCCAGCGGTTCTGCAAAGAGCTTTCAGTCCACCTGCTGTGGCACACAACGGATGGGATGACACCATGCAAGTCAGAAGGCAAGAAACCTGAGTGCACTAACGGGCAGCGGCTGGTGCTGCAGTAAAAGGCTGAGGTTGGCAGTGGAGGCTGCAAGCGGGTCGGCTCTTACCTGACCACCTGCAAAAATGACAGGGGTGGAGGCGGGCTTTGGGCGGTAGGGAATGGTGGCACCTTTTGGTGGGGACTAGGAAAAGGGACAAGGAGAGGGAGAGAGAACATTAGAACAGCTTTCCTGAAACGGCGGCAAAAAGAGCGTTAGAAAGCACCCGACGGAGCACGGCCCCCGGGGCCGCCGCCAGTAACACCCACACCAGACAAACCGTGTTTCTGGACAGGAGGACACGGGGGAAATTGGTGTTTAATGGACAACACGGACAACAAGGAGATACCCTGCCAAGGCACGGGCCCCTAAATTGCTTCCCAGATCTCCGCTGCCTCCGTGGATAGCCATCCGAGCTGGGACGTGGGTGCAAGGCCCCATCATTGTGGTCAAGACCTCCCATGCCCCCGTGGGACAAGGGGCAGTGATCACTTTGGCCAAGGTGCTGAGCTATGGAGGAGAGAGAGGCTGGAAACCCCTCTCAGATGGCAACACCAGCATTTCCAGAGATCTTATCCTAGAGCTGACATGATGGTAGCAGTCCGTGTGAGCAGCCAGACTGACAACAGCAGCAGAGGCTCCGATGTGTGTGCACTCCCAGCCCTTCTCCTGTGGCAGCATGACCCGGGGCAGCCCTGTCCAGCTGGCCAGGACATTTTGCTCCTCACTGCTGTGGCCTGACCAGTCCCTGGCTAGGTCCAAGCAGAAGCTGTAGCGATGCACATCAGGATGTAGTGATGCATCCCACCACATGGCGCACGGCATCATCTTGCACACGTTATCTCTGTTGCTTTTCTCTTCAACCCAGCCAAGAGGCCATAGCAGACATTATAGGAGTTTCCAGGTATCAGAAGAGATTTCAGATAAAAGCCTTCTGGTTCTACATGAAGTGAAACGATCCAGTTACTGATATGTAATGGTAGGCAATATAAATTACTCTATCTCATGGAAAATCCTTCATTTTTTTCCTGTACATTCTTCTAGATGTCTACTTGTAGTCAAGCGGCATATCCAAATCTTCCTGCTAAGCACAGGCCTACAGGAAAGCTATACGATAAAAGCACAGCCTCTATAATCACAAACCTGCTTTTTCTTTTATTGCATTACAAACCTTGGAGGGAATGAGTAAGGATTTTTGTGGTAAGACAATTTAAGACTGAAAGGTTAAAAGGAGCATCTCCAAGAACTGTTAAAGTCAGGGGAATTCCCAGATTTTGGACTGCAAGAAAACTCATGAAATTTTCCCATTGCTGAGCCATACAGAGGAGAAGCATCTCTTGCTTTGGTTGGTGAGCTCAGCAGCCACCAAAGACTTTATAACACACCTGGCAAGCATCACCTGGTGCCCACCTCTGCTGTAGTCCAAAGTATAACCTGGAGTCACCATGTGGCTAAAAATCGCACTCCTCTGGCAGCACAGTGCACCCTCCTGAACATCACTACCAGCAGCTGTGAGCAATGTGGCTTGTGGCAATTCCTCCTTAGCTATGCTGCTGCCAAACTCAAGCTGCTTATATTTGGGTTTGCTTCAGCTCCATAAAGCCTTGCTGTCCTCATCTGAAGCTCTTGCAACGGCAAACACGCTCCTCCCTACTGTGAATGGGCAGTGGTGCACAGGCTGTGCAGCAAGGCAAAGGGCCCTAACACAAACTTGTGCTCTGGGAGGCACCAGGAGCGAAGATCATCACTGTCCTGTGTCCTGAAGGGTCTCCTCCTGGAGCTTCTTCCATATGAGGTGGCAAGTGTGGATGTGGGGCATGTGGCTGCAATCATCCCTGGCAATAAGCCGTTGGTATAGCAGCATATCTCCAAGGCAGAGATCTTCAAGCTCTTCTTATCAGCATTTCTCCAAAAAACACACCCTGTGCCGCACTGTAGCCCAACTTCGCGCTCCCAGCCCCCGTCAGCCTAGTGCAGGGAATGCGCTGGCCCTCTCCTCCCAGCCATGGTCCTCATGGAGCACTGCAAGCCATGTGCAGAGGAGGGGGTGCAGCCCTTGTCCCCTTCTCACAGCACCCTTGGTGCTGCTGGGACATCAGGCAACAGCCGTCGCAGTCCATCTGGCCTTGTCTGGCATCCCCTCTCCCAAAGCCACCCTGTGTTACAAGACAAACCATTTCCTTTGGGGAACCCAACCAGGCAGGTTTCCAGTGTGAGACTCTAGAAACAACGGACAATGGTGGGGAAAACACACTGGGTGGGTTTCAAATGGAGGTACCAGGAAATGAGAGTGGTCCGACAACGCGTGGTGAAGGGTACAAGAGACACGCTCCACAGCTCCCAGTGCTGTTGTGGTGCCAGTTGTGTTTTTTTCCTATGTACTTTACCCCCTTTGTTACAGACTGTACCTCCAGCATCACCACACAGATCTGTTTGACACACTGGATAATTGCGTCGGGTGTCCCCGAGATTGTCACCGCCCGCTCCGTGGAGTTGGGCAGCATGTCCCCCGCCACTTGAACCTGAGCACCTGTTGACTGGAGAGAGAAAGAGAGAGGAGAAGAAATCCCACAGCTGAATGCCTTTTTTTTGCAGCGAGCAGCAGCTCCGATGCCACGTGCCTCCCAAGAGCTGCACTACCTGCACTCACAGGAGCACACGGGCAGGGCCCCATGGGATGCTTCTCCTACATCAGCAGGACCATCCTGGGAAGCAACGTGATGCACGATCCCCTTTTCCACCGCAGCTCCCCCTTGGCTGCAGATCAGCTCCAAGGAGCTGTGATTACGTGCTATAATGAAATCAAAACTGGCTTACCTCCCTGATCTCCTTGATCTTGGAGCCTCCTTTGCCAATCAGCGAGCCGCACTGACTAGCCGGCACAACCAGTCTCAGTGTCACTGGAGGTTTGCTGGTAGCAGTGCTGTTGCTCATTGAGTTGGTTATGTCCTTGGGAAGGAAGAGTGCAGTGCATCAGCCTTGGGGACCTGGCTAGATGCCTCACATCCAGGCCAACCTAAATGCCCTGGGCCAGAGAAACGGGGTCATGTGCCCCAGACTGTGGCTGGTCTCTGTCTGCAGCTGCACCACTGTGCATCCCTGCAGTTAATTAACTGCAAGACCCCTGGGATAGCTCACTGAAGCTCAGTTGTTGCCTAGTTAGAGATATCTGGAAGGTTCTGTGCCAAGGTCATGTACCACTTAAGCAAGTCCAGCCAGCCATGGGTTGGTACCCAGGCCCATCTGCACTGCTGGACACAGCAGTGGGCACAACAGAGCTCTGCTTGGCCAGTGGGCCACCCAAGCATCTCTTCCCTCCTAGGGCAAATGGCTCATGTTTCTCACCTCCTCAAATTTGTAGGCAATCATCGCAAAAGCCTTGAAGATGGCATCGGTGGGGCCGGTGATGGTCACAATTCGCTCAGGGCAGTTTCCCTCCGAGATGTTGATCCTGGCCCCGCTCTGGAAAGAGAAAAGCAACCCTGGAATAACCACAGCCAAGCAACTGCTGAGGATGCTCCAGAAACATTGCTCTTCCTCTGGGTCAGGTCCTGTGCCAGCCTAGTCCCTCATCACCCTCTGTGCCAGCCTCTTGACATCCCCTCTAATCATAAAAATTGCCACCCCTGCCCACTGTGGTGCTTCCAGCATTGCCTCACCCCAACCCTCAGGAAGGATTTCCAAGCTTTGTATCTTGCTGGAATGCAAACCCATGTGATCAAGGTAAGACCAGCTCGTGGGATCATTGCTTGTAAAAAAATGAGTGTTGCTTACTGATCTTCTAACTCCCTGGTAGCTGCAGGCACAAAGACCTTGGACAAACTCAAGTATCTTACTAGTGACTTAATTTCAATGTTTCATTGAAAGTAAATCCTTGGATCTGGAAATTCCCATTATATTGGACTTTGATTGAGTACAGAGCGAGAAAAACAGACCAAAGAGCTCTGGGGACAGCTGGCTTGTGTGTCGTGACCCTGGGAATTGCTGCAGGTATTGCACAGGGACATGTGAAGCTCTGGCCTTTTTCTGCACGCTGCTGGGCAGGACAGCGCAACAGCCCTTCCCGCGCCTGTCCTCTCCTCCTACAAACCCTTCTACAGAGTAGGGTTGCTCACCTCTTCTCGCATCTTCTTCACAGTCTCTCCTTTCTGAAATATGAACCAGAAACACAGGTTGTTACTAAAAATTTAAGACTTCCACTTCAAAACAACCCTTTCAAACACACACGTCTCCAATACAGGCAACACATTGCCAAATATTCAGGTGGCTCTGCGATGCCTGGCCCTTCAGCCCTACATGATGGTCAGCTGAAGAGCTGATGATGTAAGCCATGGTAGCTCTGCTCACCACGTCTGTATGATGTGACAGACAAAACAGCTACTAATGCACAACTGCAGCCTCCATCTTCCTTCCTACGTTTCTTGTTAGGAGGAAAAAGGCATGGAAAAAGCTCAGAAACTCATCAGATGTTCAGAAAAGCTGGCACTTCAGCGTGGCTTTGAAGGGCAATTACCTAGTACCTACAGAGAGATCTAATATCTTTATTTCCAGATATAAAGCAGGTACAACTGTGAATCTATCCAGGGCTGGTGCATACAGAAGAAGGTGCTCTTACTGCAAATCTTTGCTACCACAAACCTGCATTTCAAAAACACTGAAAACCCAATCCTATATTGTCGGGACTATCCAAACCACCGTAGCAAGCACCAGGGAGCAGAGCACCTTGCGAAGCTTGTCTGCACAAGCTAAATGGCAGTCTGTGGCCTCAGAGGGAAGTGCTGCAGAACTTAAATGGGTTTGTACGACGTTTTTTAATCTCTCCTAATGACTCTAATTAATAAATCAAGGCAACATGAACATAAATACCCATTTGTGACCACAGTGAGGAAGCTAGAAATAGCACTAGAAAATTTTAGTAGTTTGGGCTTTTTTTAAGGGAATGGTCTTTGATGCTTCTGTGGGTCTCCCATCATTTCTGTCTCACTAACCCAGTGGCAAGCTCATGCACACCCAACATTTAAGGGACATTACAGTGAAGAGGTGATTGGCATCTACCACACCAGAGGCAGCAAACTGAGCAGACAATAGCATTAGACACACATTTAAAAGGCATCCTTACCTTTCCAATGATGCTGCCAACTTCCTAAAAAAAAAAAGCCAACACAAAGGAATCAGCATTAGAAAACATGAAGACAACCCAGCCCAACCCCATAGCGAAGAAAAGGCCTGGTGTGTGCTGTCCCCAGCAGAAGGACAGGGTAGGGGGCAGGAGCACCATGCCACCCTCCCTGTCAGCAGGAGGACACCTGCTTCAAACAGCCTGAGGAGGTGGCACATGGGGCTGCCCAGAGCCAGGCACAGCGAAAGCTGATATGGGAGAGGGAGGTGTGAGAAGCCCCTTACCTTGCCGTGCATCAGGAGCCGGATGGTGAGGGTGACGTTCAGACCGCCTTCGGAGACCTTGGAGTCCATTTCCTACCAGGGGACGAGAGACGTGTGTTAGCTGGGAGAGCAGCCCCGGCGCAGAAGGAGACAGCACCACGGCCGTATCACCTGGAGACAGAGAAGGGGGGAAAGGTTTTCTCACAAAACAAGTAGGTTCTTCGACGTGGGATGGACCCTGCGGAGCAGCAGGGTGTGGGAAAGCTACGGCTGGGGGGGGCGGGGGGGGGGACAGTGGGCTGGGCGACCTTC